TTTGTTTTATAAAATATTTTTTTATTTTTAAATATATCATAATTAAATGTTTAAAAAAATTATAAATTAATAAAATTATAATAAAAATTGTGTATATAATCCTATTTGTTAAAAAAATTAGAGTTCTATTATATTTTATTTAATTAAAACTTAATTTAAAATTTAAAAATTTATGTTATTAAAAAAATTATGCAAGCACTTAAAAACTAATTATATATTAAATTTTAAATTCAATGTTAATTAAATAAAACTACACTTTAATTTTTTTAAAAATTAGAAATTATATTCCCTTAAAATTAATGGTTTTAACAAATTCTTTGCCAGGAATAAGATAAGTAACTGTACAGGCTTACAACTTTGTATATTCATGATTCTAGGTTGATTTAATAAGGAAAATGTTCTCAAGATAATTTTTTTACATTATTTTTAATATATATCATTTAAATAATTAATTTTTTTAATTTATTATAACTTTTAATATTAAATGTATAACTTATTTAATACTGCATAAAAAAAATATATAACAACATGATATAAAAATATTATCTTTTTATTACCGCCCATTTAATAAATTAATGATCATTAAAATAGGTCTCTGGTCTCTTTGTAGTCTGTAAGCACAGCTTTCCTATTCTTTTTCCCAAGTCTTCTTTTCACACTGTTTGGGTCTGAATCTTTCACATGCTCACATTCTTCCTCTTCTCTCACATGCTGCTCTTCCTTCGTTCTTCTCTTACCTACATTGCCTTCAAGGCTTCTCTCTTTACTTCCATCTCACATTTTCTGTTCTAGAACCTGTTTGTTTCCTAGGAAAACTAGGCCTGAAGCTCTGAGTTTCCAAGGAAAAGATCCTTCCTTTCATATCTTTGGACTCATTTTCTACAGAAATCTTCTTACTTCATGGAATAAGAGCTTCTCATAAACAGATCTTAATTTTCACTCATAATCAAAACCACCCAACTGAGCTTTGACCTGGATTGTATCTATGGGGGCTTAGAGTAAGCTTTTGTGCTTGTGGGGTTTTTGTTTTGGTTCTAAATTTATCACCTTTTTCATCTTTAAAAGCTGAATTTTCTGTAACATCATTTTCTGGACTGCTTTTTGAAAGTGATTTCATCTCCCCCAACAGGGTATCCCATTTTGCCCAATTTGGGTCCCATGTGTGCGTAAGAGTTTCAATTTCGACCCTTTTTTTTCACCCCCTTCTCCATACCGGAAACAAAAAATAACCAAAATTTTCCTTACTTTTCTGGTCATTCATGGCTTCCTAATTTTGGTTCTGACTGGGTCATTCATTTTTGGTATTTCATCCATCACCCACCATTCTTGTTGCTTTGGTCAAGTTTCTGATGCACTCATGTTGATTTTGGAGATACTGGGCCCAAGAAGTGGACGTTTTAATGGGGGTATCCCATGCCGGCTGGCTACCTTGAATCTCTGAGGTCTATACGGTCTTTGTCAGGTACCAAACTCTGAATATTTAGTTCCTGAAATTGTATTCGATTTTGTGGCTAGCTAGTTTATATGTTTAAGAATTCTCCAGCTTTTGCCTAATAATCATTGAAATGTGATTCAATGCTCACAATTTCTGGAGTCTTCATGACTATAATTGTAGTTCCCCCCATCACGCATTTTCTTGAAAATTTTGAAACTTGCCTTATGTTCAGTGTAAATCATTTAAATTATATGCTAAATGAGGTTCAATAACTTCTGTATGCCCAGATAGTGAAGAGGTTTTGTGCACTGTTGGCTGTAGTCATTTGTTGATCTCTCTAAGCATATAGAAATGGCTGAAAAGGAGAAATGGCTTCTTCATTCACCTCTCATGCTATTTATCTGTGTTGGGTTTCTGCTATTTGGGGTTGTGGTTTCAGAAATTCCCTTAGGTTCAAAGCTTTCTGTGGCAGAAAATAATTTATGGGTTTCCTCCAATGGTGATTTTGCACTTGGATTCTATAACCCTCCTGATCAGCCTAATCAGTTTAGTGTTGGGGTTCGATTCAATTCGAAATTGATTCCTGCTAGCAAACAGACTGTGGTTTGGGGTGCTGGAGCTGATGTTAGAGCAAGTAACAACTCCTATTTCCAACTTACACAAAATGGGGAACTGGTTCTGTTTGATTCCTCACAGGGAGGAATGCTGTGGACCAGCAAAACAAGTCAATTGTCTATTGCTTCAGCACAACTTCGTGATGATGGAAATCTTGTGCTGCTTACTGAGAAGAGGCAAGTAGTTTGGCAGAGCTTTGATACTCCCTCTGATACACTTCTTCCTGGCCAGCAATTATCACCACAGGGGATGCTAAGAGGTGCTACCCGCAATTCCATTTCAAGTTATTACAGTCTTTACATGGATGTTTCAGGTCAGTTGGAACTAAGGTGGGAGAGTAGCATCATTTTTTGGAGAAGTGGAAGCACCTCTGGTTCAAATCTCAGTGCTGTTCTCACCTCTAATGGCTCCCTGCAACTTGTGGACCAGAATTTGAAACCTCTTTGGTCTGTGTTTGGACAAGATCACAATGACAGTGTAAAGTTCAGGTTCCTAAGGCTAGATGTGGATGGCAACCTGCGGATGTACTCATGGACGAATGTTGAGTCATGGAGAACAGTCTGGCAAGCTGTTGAGAATCAATGCAATGTCTTTGCAACATGTGACCAGCGAGGAATCTGTATGTTTAATGCATCTGGTATCCGTGTCTGCAATTGTCCTTGGTATGCAACTCACTCTAAGTCAAAGTGTTTGGTTCCTTCTCGGCTTGACTGCAAATCTGCATCCACCATGGTTAAGTATGAAAACATGCTTCTCTATGGGATTTACCCGGTAAATGATTCCATCTCTCAAATGAGTCTAGAGAAGTGTAAAACCATGTGCTCGAATGACCCAAGCTGCACAGCTATAACCTATGCAAATAATGGAAGTGCACAATGCCGAATAATGAGTACCCAATATGTCAGTGGCTATTCAGATCCTTCTCTAAATTCTGTATCTTTTGCCAAGACCTGTACAGACCCAACAGCTGCTGATCCCAATTTTGGGGTGAACTCCAAGCCGAGTGCTTTCACAGAGTCCAATGGGCTATGCATTCCTTGTCTAATTGGAGCAGCTGTAGGCACATTAGCTGTATTTATTGTGGTTCAGTTTGGAATTGCCTTTTGGATTTATAAAAGATCAATGTCTTGCAGGGGAATGGTGTCTCTAGCATGCACCGGCCCCAGTTCAAAATGTTTGATTATGCTGTCCTTCTCTGAGATCAAGGACCTTACCGGGAATTTCAACAATCAAATTGGACCAAAGATGTTCAAAGGCGTTCTACCAAACAAACAACTGGTAGCAATCAAAGAGATGGAGGCAACCATAGAAGCAAGAAAGTTCCGAGCTGCTGTGTCAAGGATAGGAAGCATTCATCATAAAAGCCTGGTCAAGCTGGTTGGCTATTGTTGCGAATTTAATCACAGGTATTTGGTCTACGAGTATGCTAAGTTGGGCTCTCTGGAAAAATATGTAGAAGATTCCATGCTGTGTAAGAGGCTGAAATGGGGAAAGAGAATGGAAATATGCTTACGTGTTGGTAGAGCCGTATCTTATTTGCACACAGGGTGTAGAGAGTTTCTAAGCCACGGGAACTTGAAATGTGAAAACATAGTCCTGGATGAAAATTTTGAAGCCAAGGTGAACGAATTTGGGTTAAGGATGCTGCTGCAGGGTGAGGCATCTTCTCACAGGTCTCCTGCAGAGAAGGACGTTGAGGATTTTGGCAAGATGGTTTTGATGTTAATTACAGGGTTCCGAGAGGTGAGGGATGTTTGCGACTGGGCTTACAAGGAGTGGATGGGAGGTAATGCAGGGGAGGTAGTAGATAAACGACTCGGTGACGCGGTGGAGTATGACGAGGTGGAACGGGCACTGAGAATTGCATTCTGGTGTCTTCAAAAAGATGGACGCGCCAGACCTTCAATGGCAGAGGTTGTTAAGGTGTTAGAGGGCACACTGTCTGTTGATCCTCCTCCGCCACCCTTTGCTTGCCGGACGCCACCATTGGAGGAAGAAGGATCAATGGAGTCAGGTTCAGAGACATAGGATCACTAAAAACTGTACACTGATAGTTCCGGATGATTTTTCTTCTTTTGATTTGTACCGTAGGACTAACATTCATCTCAAGGACAATTTGGCCTTTGGTTCAGAAGAGACTAGCATTTTTCCCACAACTGATGTTACAATGTCAAAGCAAAAGCAATGTTGAAAGGAAAATGTCATTCTACTGAAATTTTCCAAAAGCTACATTTTGGAATTATTTGTTTCCTACATGTTTCTTCCTTTAGGTGGCCAAAATATAAAGTAGGGATAGAATGCATCTAAGAATCCAGTATTCACTGATCTTCTAAATCTCAACGCTTTTGGAAGAGATGTGTAAAACCTGAACAATAATATATAAATGCGATCGATAATTTACAGATCTGTACAAATCTAACATTAGAAATAATCATGTTTGCCCTCCTCAGTCAGATGTATGTATACAAACATAAAAAGCATAAAGCAGAAAGAAACCAATGACAAACATTGATAGATGGGAGGTAACAAGAAATGTCTATGATGCAACTTTCCCCGTTTTAATTGCTTTTATTGCTGAAAGGAAAGTTTTGTGATGAAACTTCCTTGTAATGTACTTTGGTTTCCCCAATTAAGCAGGCAGTGGTTCCTCCATAACTGTGTTATATAAAAACTGTCAGGCAATTTAAGTTTTGGAGAGGTGGATGTGTGTGTCTGTGCAGGTGAGCAAGCTAGAAAAAGTGAAAGGGAGAGACACACCTTTCTTCTTTATGGGAACTTTAGCCGAAGCTAACTCAGCATAATCAGCAATCACATTGGAAGCAACTGGTGCCTTGGTTGGCACATCAGGAAGATCCAACTTCTTGTGTTCTTCCTTCTTCTTTTCGTCCTTCTTTTCTTCCTTCTTGTGTTCCGGCTTCTTTTCTTGCTTGTGTTCTTCCTTCTTGTGTTCTTCAGATGGTGCTGTAACAGGCACTGTTGGCATACCTTGAATGGCCATCTGAACAAAAGGATGATTTTCTTTCAGATAAAGATGACATTATCCATGTAAAGGCAACACAATACCGCATAGAATTTCCTAGTAGCAGAAAAGAAATACAAAATTTTCTCTGAAAAAAACTAGCCAATCATACCTGAGTTTCCAGGTTCTCGAATTCCGCTAGGATTTCCTCTTCATCTTCTGCTGATAATTTCTCACCCAATATTGCATTGATTTCCTTCAAAACAATAAGGAGCTTTTGTTTAGAAATTAATAGAAAGGAGAAAAGAATGGTAAGGTGAATATCAAGTGAAAAGTTGCTCAAAGGTGAAACCTAAACTATGCAACATAACAAGCTCAATATGCTCAAATGAGATCATCTTCTAGTCCAATGGTAAATTTTAGAGAACATTTTTAGCTGACAAAAAATTTAAAGAATATTAAGAAGGAAGCAATCAAGTAATCTGGATCTATTTATTTCTCAAGCCAACGAGTAGTTTGATAGTTTGTCACCATGGAGGTGTTTAGAGGTATCATGGAGCAACAAAGTTTTAAGGAAAACATGAAAACCAAGTTAAATGCTGTGGGTATATATAAAACAGAAATGGATTTCCACTCAGAATTAGAAGAATACCTAGTTCATACTTAATACTTGAAACCAAAAAAATGTGACCATTCTTCAGGAAAAGGGGTAAAGGGCACCAAATAAAAGTATCTAGGATCTGTTCAATTCTCAAGGCTCTAAGTAGTTTGATGTGGTTTATCACTATGCAAACATTTGAAGCCATCATATATCAACTAAATTTCAGGCAGGATGAGGACAGAGAAAGGGACTTCCAAAATGAAATTATAAATACCTAGTTGATACTATGATTGTCCATGACAACGAACAATTAATGCTAGAAAGTAGAAACCCAAAATTAGGACTTTAGTACCATTCTTCGGGGTAAGGGTAAAACATATTTCATCAAGAACTTTACAGAAGACAAAAAGTTTTCCTTTTTTGCCGCAGAAGAATCAATCTCATTTCAAAAATGCACCAGATAGAAATATGATCATATCCAGCAAACAGAAGAACCTAATTATGACAATTAAATCCAGAGAAACATGAATCCAAGTAAAGCTCACATCTTGATAAGCTTTAGCTTCCTCCGTATCATCCATTAACTTCTGGACATCATCTAGGTTGATCTCACTTTGTATTGCCTTAATTGCATCATTACCTGCCTTCAAACTATCAAAAACAGCTTTCCGCTTGCTTGCTAGTTCAATATCTGCCAACTGAGACACAAAGTGTTAGGATGCCCACACCTTCTTTGGGAACCACATTCCCAAGTTGAAACTAAATCAAAACATGAATCGCAACAAACATTCACGCCAGCAATACAAATAACAAAGACAGGATAAAGTTAAACCAATGCTGGGGGAATATCGGGTACACCTCTTGTCACACAACCATTATGAAAAGAAAGACTGAAACAATCTAAATAATAAATATTTTCACGTTTGAGTACAATAATTTACTTGTTGCTCAACGTTGATAAGCCATGTGTCAACTTGCTTCAATAATTCTTCCTGTGCTTTCTTCTTCTTCAATGCTAACAAGGCTCTATCCTTTCTCTTTTCACGAATCAAGTCCCTCGCCGCTTGCTTTTCTGCTTCAATCACAGTTTCAAGCTGAATAGAGCAGAAGACAAACAAAATTTATATAAAAAAGGAACATTACTTATTCATACGAATTTAAGCAGATCCATTAAAGCAAATTCGGTTTTTTTTTTTCCTTTGTAATTTGTCGCAGCATTCAACCAAAAACAATGAAATTAAAGCAAAAATTATGCATTCTACAGAAAAAAAAAGGAAATTTGAAGGAAAAGGAAGGGAAGGAAGGAAAGACCTGCTGCTGATATTGCCCAAGCTTCCGCCTTTGAGTTTTGAGAGAGAGAATTGCTCGATCTACATCGGTGATTTTGGGCTTCTTCACGAATATATTTCCCATCTAATTAGCAATACAAATTCCAACAGATGAAAACCCCGTCTTCCTCGATCTCGAATCCGGTCAAAATCAGCTATGAGTTCTCCGTCTACCTGAAGAATAGAAAGCAAGATGAAAGCCTATTTCTCTACCCGAGAGAAATATTCACTGCAATCGACGGCAGCGACGTTAATGCTCCGGTCTCCGATGGCTGTGGTGCAAATTTGAGAGATCCTTTCTCGATTTGTTTTCCTAAGAATACAGTGTTTTGTTTATGGCAAATGGCTGCTGCTAATTGAGTTCTTCGGTTCTTTGGATTGGAGGCTTTGGTTGGGCCTTTTTACTGACTTCATTCTCTTTATCAAATGGGTTTGGATCGATCTAACATTATGCTATAATGGATTGGACTAAATATAGGTTTTTAATGGACCGAAACAGATCACGGGCCAAGCTTACATCCATCATTTTAATGGGACTAAACTAATATGGAACACTTACTACATGTCTCGGTTGAGAAGAATAGAATGGAGAGGAGGGGAGGGGAGGAAAAAATAAGTTTTTTTTATTTGGTTATTAAAAAATTAGAGGAGAGAGGAGGAAAAAATTTTCTTGTACATTATTTTTTTCTCTTAATTTGTTAACTTATTCAAATAAGGAGAAGAGAGGGGAATGGAGGGATAAAATTCCCTTCCCCTCTTTGCTCTTGACCCAAACATGCTATTAGATTTGGTTTTGTGATGTTGTGTTGTGCTACAGTAGTAGGTATTTTTTTATTACTTAAAAATATATAAAATATTAATTAAAATTGATAAAAATATATAAAAAAATAATTAAGAATAATTAAAAATTAAAAACTTATATTTTTAGATAAGATGCTGTATAAAAATGATTTGTGAGAAGTTTTAATAAACAATACTTTAACCCATGAGTCCAATTACAGAATGTTTTGGTTTGGAAGTGTTGGGACTTCCATGCCTACTCTGTGACAAGTGAACAAGGGTAACATTTACATGATTTGGCCAACTAAAAATTGATCAAAATGCATGCCATGCTAGCTTTTAACTCATATTTGTGAACATTATTTGCTTTAAAAAATGTGATAAAGATCAAAAATAGTAAAGGAGATTTCACAAATTAAAATTTGAGAGTAAAGAAAATTTTACATATAAGATATTGTTGGAAACTAATCATTATGTCTTTATAAGTGCTTAATCTCACAACTATCTATACGAAAGCTCATTATATTTCCTTCTATAATATAATATTGAGTAAGATTTCACCTTTAAGTTTTGAGAGAGAGATTTGCTAGTTTTGTATATGTAATTTTGAGTGTTTTTATAACTATAATTCACATCTAATTAGCAATACAAATCCTAGCAAATGAAGAACCTGTCCTCCTTGATAACGAATCCATTGAGTGGTCAAAATCAGTGAGAAGTTCTCTACTTGCATGGGAATAATGGTAAGCAAGATGACTAGTTGTATGCCAAAGAAAAATATTCATTGCATCAACAGTGATATTAATGCTCCAATCTTCAATGTCTGTGGAGCAAAAATTAGGGTTAGAGTTTGAAAATTGTAATCTAAGAAAGTTGAAGAGAGAAGAAAAATGGATTGTTGTGTGACAAAGATGAAACAACATTATTTCAAAAAGTGCCGTCTTTTTTTCTTTTTTTTTTTTGTTTATTTTAGCAAATCTTATGACTTAGGAATAGAATTCACAAAATTACTCCGATTGGTTGGAGTTAGACCGTGTCCTTTGCAATTTACATATGAACTAACCAGCCACATGGGAGAGCAAAAGTGGCCAAAGCCACTTTGCTCCATGGATTGACACGCAGGTGTGGGCCCCTACACTTGTAATCCCTTGCTTCTCGATCTCGAATCCGGTCAAAATCGGCAATGAGTTCTTCGTCTGCCTGAGGAATAGAAAGCAAGACGAAAGCCTACTTCTATACCGGAAGAAATATTCACTGCAATTGGCGTTGGCGGCGGTAATGCTCCGGTCTCTGATGGCTGTGGAGAGAAATTGTGCGATCCTTTCTCTTTATGTTTTCCAAAGAATACTGTTTTGTTTATGGCAAATGTCGGCTGCTAATTGAGTTCATTAGATTCTTTGGAGGCTTTGGTTGGGCATTTTCACTAGGCTCATTCTCTTTAGCAAATGGGTTTGGATCGGTTTAACATTTTGCTCTAATTGACTGGACTAAATACAGGCTTTTAATGGACCGCAACAGCTCACGGACCAAGCTTACATCCTTGATTTTAATGGACTAACAAAAATATTGGCACTTAATCCATGAGTGCAATTACAGAGATTTTGGGCATCCCTCGTTTTTGAGAGCCTTCCTTCGGCTTACAAGTGTTAAGATTGTCATGCCTCCTCCGTGACAAGTGAACATGGGTAACATTTACATGATTTAGCAAACTAAAAATCAATCAAAATGTATGCTATGCTAGCTTTTAACTCATATTTGTGAACATTATTTGCTTTATAAAATGTGCGATCAAAAATAGGAAAGGAGATTTTACAAATTAAAATTTGATAGCGAAGAAAGTTTTACATATTTGTAAGATATTGTTGGAAATTAACTATTATATGTGCTTAATGTCTAACATTCCCTTATATAAGCTTTACATTTGCTTTCATAGTATGCTATTGCGTAAGCTTCTGCCTTTAAGTTTTAAGAGAGAGTTGTTTGATTTTCATCGTGATTTTGAGTTTCTCAACAAATGTATTTACCATTTAGTTAGCAATACAAATCCCAACAGATGAAAAATTCATCCTCGATCTTAAACTTGTTATTAATCTTAAATCCGTAGAAAGATCAAAATTGATGATGAGTTCTCCTTTTGTGTGGGATACATAGAGGCAAGACAAAGGTCTACCTTTGTGTTAGAGAGAAATATTCATTGCATCGATAGTAACGACAGTGGTAACGACAATGGTCTAATCTCCAATCGTTGTGGGAAAATTGAGGGTTAGGATTTAACAATTGTAATTTGAGAAACTGGAAAATAGAAGGAAATCTATATCACCACTATATTTGTGTGATCAACATGAAACAATATCGTTACGAATGGTTCCATTGTCTTTTTTGTTTGTTTTAGCATATTTTCTGACTTAGTAATAGATTTGACAAAGGAGTTTGGTCTGTTTGGTTAGATCAGGACTTTAATGGGTTCATAAGTACTTGTTTTAAATGGAAAGTTAAATTTTGTTGATACCTTACTTAACTAATGACTTGATTAATTCATATGTTAGACCAGTTAACTTAAAAATAAATTACAAGATAAAAGTATTACCCTGATTCATTTTACATAAGTGAATTGGACTAGATTAAATCAACTCTTTCTTACTTAAAACTGATTGAAACTAAATTAGTTTAGTAAACTAAACTTAATTAAATTGCATTAAAATCTTATAGAAATTATACAAAATTTTAAACAAATATCTTACTTGCAGTAACTATATTAAAATATAAAATAAAAATGATTTATAAAAGACGAACCATAATATCAACAGGTTTCCTCTTGAAATGATTTAAATTGTACACTTTTTTGTTTTCAAATTCTTACAAACAAAAAGAGACGCTTTTCCAAGAAATTTCTACTTTGATCTTATCAAAGATTTGGTAGAGTTATAGAATATATAAAAAAGGATGAAATTATTTATAAGTGGTAGTAGTTAATCCTGCTGTGGGGTTTTTGGTAAGTACAGCAGAAAGATCTTTCAAGTTGCCATCTTTGAACAAAATATCCTCACCGGGTCTCAGGTTTTGATACTGCAATATTTGGCCTCCCTCTATTAACACTCAAGAAGAAAAAAGTGTCAACATTTTTTCACTCTGAAACTTTAAGCCCCCAAAGAGAGAGGAGGAATCAGCAATGGGGTTGCCTGGTGGTGGCAATGGCTGCAGCAAACTTAAGGAAGACACTGCAGGTGAAGATAGTTCGGTAGCTGGTGGCTGTTCGACACCAAAAGGTCAAAAGTTTAGGATACCAGAAATGTTGTCCTGTCCACCGGCAGCAATGAAGCCCAAGTTTTGTTCCAAGAGGAAGAAGAGTTCTCAAATTGCTTTCTATGCTCCTACTGATATAGAGCTTTTCTTCTACACGGCATTTTGTAATCATTTCAGTTAATTTGCTGTTTCTCAGAGTCAGAAGTGACCCCTCCTACATTGTGATTCAATTCATGTCTGGAACACTGGTGCATCTTTTTCTTATATTCTAGAAGAGAAATGATTGGTACACTCACCGGTTCAACGTATAGTTCAACATCTTCTGGTTTAGTCATTAAAAATATAATATAAATACAATTAATTCAATTGGTTCTTATATTTTGTGTGTATGATTGTATCATTATATTTGTTTATTTTTAATTTTAGACTAAAAAATAATATTTTTTAATAATTAAACTTAAAAGTGTTGGATCGGGTGTTGCGTGTATTAATCATTGTCTTTTCTATAAACATTAATTATAGTTTTTTGTTTTTGTTTTAATTT